AATGACTACAAAAAAAATGCCGTTTAGAAAAAATCATCAATTAATCTCACCCCATCTCCGAATGCATCACATTTTGAAAATACAAATAGGAAACGAAGTTTAAAGCATACCTGATAACGACAACTTGCAGCCAGGTTCAGGCTCTCCCTCCAAAAAAGGAGGTGGATGATTCGGTAATAAAGGAGACATCTGCTCACGAGGAATAGCCCTTTTAGGATCAACAACCTGTCAATAGTAAATTTAGTGACTCTTATGCTCTCAAAAATCCAATTAACCGACTACTTTCGAAACCAGTAAGAGTTACCAGTAAATACACAAAAATGTCCTCTTACTTTGCCGTTGATGGTGTGTGGCCGATCGGCCATTGCCGCCTCAGCCATTTGAATGGTTGCGAACGTTACAAAACCGAATCCTCTTGAGTACTTTGTTGTTGGATCTCGAATAACAATGCAATCCACAACCGTTCCCCACTGTGAATAAAACTGTCGTAGCTAAAACTGCACTAATAAGTAACTCTTTTGTCCAAGGTTCCATACACTTCAACTATAAAGTTCGGCAATAATACATCAAAATCTAGTGAACCACAGTACAATTCCATTAGCAAACTTTCTTCAGTTCTTCTAGCCTCATCAACAGGTTTATCTAACTTTGAAAACCATTTGAGAGTAAAATTTTGAAAGCATATGTACTAAGGGAAACCTGCTCATCTGTAGTTTCGTGGTTCAACCCGCCAATGAACAGTTTTCTAAGTTGAGGTGGACCCTCCCCATTCATCTGACCAGGGAGAAGTCCACTAACACCAATCCTGTGCAATGGAGCTGCTGGGAAGTAGGGTGCTAATGGATATGCAGAAGCACCAAACGATGGAATCATTGGTACACCGCGATACGCGCCGTTGGGCATAAACATCGGGTTCGGTACATAAACACCACCCACACCTCCTTGAAACCATGATATGGCAATAAACAGTTAGAACGGAAAACGCTACTAGAAAAATATGCAAGTGGAATAATGAAATAAAGATTTGTAAAGAGCCTAAAAAAGCTCAATTTCACAACAGGCTGGACTCACAATGAAAACTTCTAAAGAAAATAACGTCGGAAAAAGCAGGTCGGCATCTTCTAAAACAAATTCATTTAGCCTACGCAAAAAGTCGCTAAATTGCGGAAAAGATGAACGTGACATTAAATTGGCGTTTAGATCACATAAAAACCGAAAAAGTGAATCAGTGTAACAGCCAGCACAAGCAAGATTTTAAAAAAACGCATTACAGATCCTCGCCACTGAGCTTACTAAGCTTACACTCATATTTCACTGCTTCCGTAAAGTACATTTAGCTTTTTTGTTCCTATTCACAGATGTCATCATATCATGACCTTCACTCTGCCCACCGGTATAGCCCATCAAAAAAAAGTAAATTCATCTCTCCACAATCATGAAAATTTATAAATCAAGTAAAAACAGTCAAACGTCAAATTAATAGAAGAAAGATACCTGCAGCAGAATAAATAGGTGAGAACATCATGAAGATATACCCAATCCAAATAATCCTATCCTAAAACTTCAAAACTGCACAGCCGTAGCCGAGGCTCAGCTTTTGTTCAATTAGGCGAAATCACCTATAACACATCAAAATGATCAATAAAATATTTGCTGTAAATCAAAATACTTCAGGAACGCGACCAAATAATAATGGCTTCATCAAAGTACAAAAATCGATTAAGCAAGGTATGCAAAAAAACAGCAATAGTATATAAACTTCATCTGTAGCTTCTCTTTTCCTAGCCTATTTTGTCCTTTGTTTCAAAAACTGATCTCCTCAACACCAAAACAACTTTGTATTTTCATCTTTTGCTACCCCTTCAAGAAACAAAAAAAAAAAATAAAACATCAACAAGTCCCTAATGTTACAATTTCTACTGCATAAACTTTTTTTGCTTTTCCATAGTAACTTTCTTTTCACTTCTCCGTTTCAAAGAATAAGTCATCTATTATATTTCAAACAATAAACAAAAACATTCGAATGCAGAACCAAATAAGAAATTCCCGCTTTGAAAGATTAAAAACTTTCTCACAAAAAAAAAAATCAGAAAGAAGTAAAGATAAAGAAGGAAGGGAACGGGACAGCACAAAACAACATTTGTTCATTACCTGAAAAATTCATTAAAGCAAGATTTATCTTTTACGAGCTTCTGAATATTACCAAAACCACTGATTCTGCAAATAATAAAAGACCATACAAAAATATCAACTGAACATAACTGATTTTTAATAAAACAACACCCAAACTAGTCAGCCAGACAGCTCAACAACTCCTAACTTTTCCTAGCACAACTGGTTATTGTCTCCTTGTTACAGCTCATATAAGCGCAACTTTACAAGTGACATAAACACATAAACATTACCTCGCCGATGCCGATAGACAAAATGCACGAAAGTTTGACACTATCTCTCTCCTGATGGTATTCTACCCAAATAACTAAATATTTCCTTAGCTTATTGTCATTACTGTTAATATTATTAATACTATAACTGTAATTATCATTGCTACTTCTACCGTCATTACTATTATTACTATAACTATTATTATTATTATTTTTATTATTATTACTTTTATTATTATTACTATCATTACTACTAATATTATTACTACAACTATTATTATTATTGTTATTATCATTAATACTGATACCGTTTTTTAACCACCACTGCCGTTATTGTCATCACTATTCTCACTGCATTACTGTTCGAACTATTACTATTATTACTGTTATTATTATTATTATTAT